GCAGCCTGAGCCAGAGAAGCCCTCTAAGCCCTGAAGATATTCAGGGATGTGGACCCAGGGTCGGGTCCCTCCTGATTTCTGGAGACCCCTACAGGCTGCCCTGAACCCAGGACAAGGCCCCCGTTTCCCATGAAGTGGGGGTTCCCAGGAAAAGTGTCCTGACCCCTGACCTACCAGGGATGATCTGAGAGGATCTGAATAAAAAGGACTCGTCCCCTCCTTGGCCCTTTCTTTGTGAATGGTCAGTTCTCTTAGCAGAAATTCCCCCAGGGGCACCTGGCTGGCTCAGTAGAGCATGCTACTCTTTTTTTTTTTTTTTTTAAGATTTTATTTATTTACTTGAGAGAGTGAGAGAGAGAGAGAGAGTATGAGCGGGGAAGTGGGGCAAAGGGAGAGGGAGAAGCAGACTCCCCACTGAGCAGGGACCCAGATATGCAGCTACATACCAGGACCCAGGGATCATGTCCTGAGCCTAAGGTAGATGCTTAACCAACTGAGCCACCCAGGCACCCCGAGCATGCAACTCTTGATCTTGGGGTCATGAATTTGAGTCCCATGTGTGGTATAGAGTTTACACTAACAAAAAAATAATAAAGTGTAAAAAACTAAAAAGTGAAAAGAAATTCACCTGAAACTCTGGGTCTCTTCTCTCCTGGGTCACATAGGGAAATGTTACCTCTGAGTTGACCAAGCCCCCATCTCCAGTCCCCCAGGATAGAGGAAGGGGTGAGTGGTGTGGACATGTTGGCACCACGCTAACTAGAATGCCAGAGCTGTGGCCAAACCATGAGAGAACTCAGCGGTCCTCACATTGCTCAGGCACCAAAGCTATAGACACTCCCAGTGTTTATAAATGTGGTTGGGTGTCAGGAGCACAGAACATGGGGCCTCTGATGACCACATGAAGATGAGCCAGGAAGGAGTAGCTGTGGGCAGGCATACATCCCGGTGTGGGACCCCTTCACTGCTTTTTGGTGTCCTGAGTCCTTTGGCCTTCCTCCCCCAGTCCTGGTGGCCCTGACTGGTGGCTTTCACCAATAAACCTGCCTGTCTCCAAGTCCAGGATCCAGCTCCTGGGACCTGCCCAAAGGTTTCTTCTCTGTGTCCAAGGCTAGCTTTCAGGATGTCCTTACCTCTGGGGTGACTTAGAGAAAGGCTGTCAGAGTAACCCCAGTGGGGAAGACCCAGAATTCCTGCCCTGAGCATGGCCCTCCCAGGCACTGCCCATGACCTCTAGCCCAGTACTTCCCATCAGTGTCCACTTTTGTCCCTGAACTGCATCTTATTGAAACACACCTCCTCCCCACAAATAAGTGTCCAGGTCAGAGGGAGGGGGCTTTCCCCTCCTAACTGTCACCCTGGTTCCCATGGCGATGGGACAAAGTGTCTCTTCCACCCGGTCCACGGGCCTCCTCCCACCTGTGCCTTACCTGCAGCCCTTTCACACACCGGGTGGCCAGCAGGTCTTGGTCCTTGCCTGAGGCCCCAGGTTGGGTGCTCTTCCCGTATGGATTCACTTGCATCACAGTGCCCACATTTATACAAACAAAAGTGGTCTGAGCACCAAGGCACCCCACCCATATTCACAAGTGTGTCCACCATTGACAGAGTGTTGTCAGTCATGAGATGAGAGGTAAGAAAACCTGCAAAATATTACATCATTATTCAGCTCTAGGACCCTTCTTATCCCAACGCACACTATGTTGGATTAGACAAGGTGACACCTCTTGTTAGTTTCCTCTCGCTGCTGTACCAAATTATTGCAAGCCTAGTGGTGTAAAGCAGCAAAAATCAAGGTGCCGACCTGGCTATTTCTTCTGGAGGCTCCAGGAGAGTGTTTCCTTGCTTTTTCAAGCTGTTGGCAGTCACCGGCCTCCCATGGCTGTAGCCCCGTCCTCCACCCAAAGCCAGCAGAGCAACGTGAAGTCTGTGTCCTGTTTCCATCCATCACATCTTCTCCTCTGGCTCTGATTCCCGTGCCTCCCTCTGTCACTTATAAGAAAGAATGCCTGTGAGTATTTTGACTCACCGGGATATACCACTATAATCTTGCATCACGTGATCCTTAACTTAATCTGTAGTGTTTATCACCTTCCTTCACTACAAACTGCTGGTGGGCAGCCTGGACTTGGTCATCTGACTGTGGAGTCACTTCCTGCAGTGATGTCCACAGCACCTTCCCTTCCCTGAGGGATGGAGAAGAGGACAGTGCACGCTCCCTGCAGCCCTCTCCACCTCTTCCTTGTTCGTAATGCTCCTTGTTAAGAATGGAAAGTGTGTGGACAGAACTAGATCAAGGCTCCCAAGCCCTGGAAATAGCTGGGAGTCGTCAGCACCATGGACAGTGTCCCAGCCAAGCACCTCCCAGGAGTTGAGCAGGGAGGAGGCAATGGGGGACTGCTGGAGAGACTTCCCATTTCTGTTCTACAAAGGATGCAATGAAGCAGAATGCTACTACAGGGACAACCCGATTCTGCTCTAATCTGTGAATTCTAAACCCTTTGCACATGTCCGGATGTTACTTGTTGGCACATCCATTACAGCTCCCTGCTTGGCTGATTGCTGCCCCCACAGGGAGGTTGGGAGTCCACTCCAGGCTCTCGGGGAACCTCCTGGCCCTTGAGAGTCAGGCCTCTCTCTTGTCTACAATAAGCAAAGAATGTTTCATGAGTAACTTCGGACCCTTGGTGCCTGACCTTGGAAACACACCCATCATCCAGCCTGGAGCACCCCTGAGCACAGCATCCTGTTTCCCAAGCCCCAGCTGAGCCCCCCAGGCAGCAGGGCTGAGCAGAGCCCTGGGCTATTCTCCCAGCTGCTCCCTGCTGAGCCCTGTGCCTGGTGTCAGAGTCTTTTGCCATCTACCTGCCCTTCCCAGCAAAGCAAACATTCCACCCAAGGGACAAATGGGGCCTAAGATCTCCCAGGGAAGAATCCAACATCTGAATGTTCCTGCATCTGCATGGGACTCCTCAGAGGAAGAGAAAAGACTAGGGCCATCAAAGTCACCCCCATCTTCCTATTTCCCATCCACATCCCACCCACAGAACCAACTCCGATGCTATAGACCCAGCCCTGCCCTTCCATGGGACTCAGGTCCATTCTGTCCACTCATAATGGCCAACATAAGGTCACCTGGGTGCTTTATCTTTACTATTTCTTTCTTTCTGCTTTTAGTTGGGTTCACCTTGCTCTTATTTTCCTAGTTCTTGTGGTAGGAACTCTGATTATTGATTTGAGATATTTCCTTTCTTAAAAGCATTTCATGCTACGAATTCCACTCTCAGCACAACATAAGTTGCATCCCACAAATGGTGGAGATGTTTTTAGCGTATTTAATATAATTCTGTGTATTTTTAAATATCCTTTGAGACTTCCTTTTGACCCATAGGTTAACAAATATGTAGCTTGCTTTCCAATTGTTTCAAAGATTTTTCTGCTGCCTTTCTATTGCTGATTTCTAGTTTACTATTTTCAGAGAACATACTCTGATTTCAGTTATTTTAAGTTTGGTTAGGGGCTCCTGGCTGGGTCAGTTGGTGGAGCATGTGACTCTCGATCTCGGGGTCGTGAGTTTGAGCCCCAAGTTGAGGGTAGAGTCTACCTCAAAACAAAGTAAATTTGGTTAGCTTTTAGATATGACACCACACATAAACCACAGAGAAGGATGAACTGGACTCTTCTCCTTGGCCATTCTTTAATAGTAGGTCAGCTGGCAACAAAGTCTCATACTTTTCCTTCATCAGGAAATTTCCTTAGTTCCCCTTTCTTCCTGAGGATCATTTCCCAGATACAGGATTTTAGTCGACTTGAAAAACCTGCCACTTCCTTCTGGCCTCCATGCTGTCAGATACAAAACCTACTGTCACTTAAATCAGTGTTCCTTAATATGCAATGGGTTGTTTCTCTGGCTGTTCTTTTTTTTTTTTAAGATTTTATTTATTTATTTGACAGAGAGAGACATAGCGAGAGAGGGAACACAAGCAGGCCTCCCCGCGGAGCAGGGAGCCCGATGGGAGGCTGGATCCCAGGACCCTGGGATCACGACCAGAGCCGAAGGTAGACGCTTAATGACTGAGCCACCCAGGCGCCCTGTCTGGCTGTTCTTAAAGATTTTTTTTCCTCTAGTCTTTAGTTTCCAGAAGTTTGCGATGTGCCTTAGTGTGACTGCTTATCGTGCTCGGGGTCACTCAGCTTCTTGGACCATTATTTCTTCAGGTACTTTTTTCAGTCCATACTTTTTTTCCTATTTCTGGTATCCAGTGGTGTCAATGATAGATTCTTCCTTTTTTAAAAGGTTTATTAATTTGAGAGAGAGAGAGAGAGAGAACTCATGAGCAGTGGGAGGGACAGAGGGAGACGGAGGGAGAGAACCCTCAAGCAGACTCCCCACTGGGCACCAAGAGACCACAAGTCAAGGAGTATTAGCAGACTCCAGAAACTGGAGAAGGCAAGAAAATTGATCCATCCCTAAAACTTCCAGAAAAGAATGTGGTCCCACCAATATCTTTATTTTAGCCCAGTAAAACTCATGTTGGACTTCTGACCTCCAGAACTGTAAGGTAATAAATGTCTGTTGCATTTAAGCCACCATCTTTGTGGTAATTTGTTACAGCAGTAATAGGAATCTAATATAGACTGCATATTAGATTATACTGTTGTATGAATATCAAATTGGGGGAGCTTGATCATCGTTCTGTGGATATATAGGAGAAAATCCTGGTTCTGATGAAATACGGGCTGAAGTAGTTAGGGTGAAGTAGTATGATACCTATAACTTTCAACTGATTAATCAAAAAATCATATATAGGGCACCTGGATGGCTCAGTCAGTTAAGCATCTGCCAGGTCATGATCACAGGGTCCTGGGATCAAGTCCCACATCAGGCTCCTTGCTCAGCAGGGAGTCAGCTTCTCCCTCTGGCTCTGCCCCTTCCCCTACATCATGAGCTCTCTCTCTCTCTCAAATAAATAAAATCTTTTTTAAAAAAATCATATATATATACATACATATGTATAGGTACATTTAATGAAAAAGATTTGTGTGTATGCACATGCATATATTTACACAGAGAGAATACAAATGTGACGTTGGTAAATAAGCATGACAGGTATATGGGAGTTCCCTCTCATAGTCTTGCAAGTTTTCTCTAAGTTTGATTTTTTTTAATTGGAGGGGTGGGGCCTTATGTTTTAGAAGTACACGCACAAGTGTTTGCAAAGAATATTATATGATTTCTTTTTTTTAAGATTATTTATTTATTTATTTGACAGAGAGAGACACAGCGAGAGAGGGAACACAAGCAGGGGGAGTGGGAGAGGGAGAAGCAGGCTCCCCGCTGAGCCAGGAGCCCGATGTGGGGCTCAATCCCAGGACCCTGGATCATGACCTAAGCCGAAGGCAGACGCTTAACGACTGAGCCACCCAGGCCCCCCAAGAATATTATATGATTTCTAATAATTAATCCAGTGATCCAGTGGGTAGAGGAGTAGAAGGGTGATGGATACAACCAGGTTCACCATGAGTTGATACTTTGAGCTGGAGATGGGTACATGGGGGTTCACGATACCGTTCTCGCTAGTATAACGCACTAGAGTCCATTTGTATATGTATACAAGCTCTCTTTGTATATCTTTGAAATTTTCCATATGAAAAGATTTTAAGGAAAGAGAAAAAAATTTCCAATTCAGAAGTTTTATCAGAGTTCCACAGAACTTTCAACTCAGATCATCTCAAAATCAGAAATTCATCCATAGAACGGACAGGGTATATCCCCCTAACTTATTCCAAGGCTAGTATAACCTTTAAATTGAAATAGGAACAACAAAAGTACAAAAAGCGGAAAATACCAGACCAATCATACTCATCAACAGAGAAGCAAAAATGCTAAACAAGATATTCTCAAACTAAATCCAACAGTATATAGAATAAGACAGTACACCATGACTAAGTTAGGTTTGTCCCAGGAAAGCAAAGGTCATTGAACATTAGACATTTATAAATGGGGGGCACCTGGGTGGCTCAGTTGGTTAAGTGGTGGGCTCTTGATTTCAGTTGGGGTCATGAGCTCAGGGTCCTGGAATTGAGCCCTGCATTGGGCTCCCCTCTCGGCAGGGACTCTGCTTGTCTCTCTCCCTTTGCCCACCCCCATCCTGCTCTCGCTCGCTCTAACAAATAAAATCTTTAAAATTTTTTTTTAAAATACGGGATGGCTGGGTGGCTCAGATGGTTGAGCGTCTGCCTTCAGCTCGGGTCATGCCCCCAGGGTCTGGGATTGGGTCCTCCATTGGGCTCCTTGCTCAGTCAGTGGGGAGCTTGCTTCTCCCTCTGCCTGTGCTTTCCCAGCTTGTGTTCTCTCTCTCTCTCTGACAAATAAATAGAATCTTTAAAAAAATAATTAAAAAATTAAAAACCACCCTGATGATACCCAGCTCTAATTCATAAGGCCTTTCATTTTATTTTTTGTTTTAAAGATTTTATTTATTTGGCAGAGAGAGAGGGAGCACAAGTAGGGGGAGCAGCAGGCAGAGGGAGAAGCAGGCTTCCCGCGGAGCAGGGAGCCTGATGCAGAGCTCGATCCCAGGACCCTGGGATCATGATTTGAGCCGAAGGCAGACGTGTAACAACTGAGCCAACCCAGGCGCCCCAGGCCTTTCATTTTAATGGGGAGGAAATTGAGACCCAGAAAAGGGAAGAGATTTGGCCAGGATCTCTTGAGTCAGTGGCTGATTGGGCTAGAGCTCAGGTCGTCACAAGAAGGGGGAGGAGAAAAGAAATATTTGAGGGGGGGTGCCTGGCTGACTCAGTTGGAAGAGCATGCGACTCTTGTTCTCAGGGTCGTGAGTTTGTGCCCCATATTGGGTGTAGAGGTTACTAAAAAAAAATAAACTTTAAAATAATTTTTGGGGTCCTCCTCGTTGCTGGGCATGACTGTCACTTTGCCAACGACCCTCCTCCCCACCACCCCCTGCTCACTTCACCATGCACATACCCACCGCCTGCTTCTCCCCTCCACTTCCCCGGGTATGTTTGGCTCCCCTCACACCTTCCATGCCTCCACAGTCCTCATGGACCACAGGACAAAGCAGAAAGGCAACTCTGTGACTTTACTGGGTTACGGAAAGGGGTTTGTCCAGTCCAGCTAGACTGTCAGTCCCTGAAGGCCAGCAGAAGACCTGAGAGGATGCTCCAAGCAGGACTCCGACTGGAGGGCTCTGCACCAGCTCTCTGGGCCTTCTCTAAGATGTTGAGGACCTCAGTCACTCTGATGTTCCCAATATGGTGATAATCTGCTAAAAGTTTCTGATGTCCACGAGCACAGCCCAAGAGGAGGAAGGTGGTATTGAGAAGGCCTGTAAGGCAGACAGAGAGGAGTCAGGGACACTTCCAAGACCAAGCGCCTTGCCCCTGCTTCCAGACACCCTCACAACCCAGAACACCTTCTTTCCCACCAAAAACTTGAATACCAGCCCCCTTAGTCCTTCCTCCTTGGAATTCATGTGCCTGGCCCTGGGCAGCCCCAGTCCCCTCTCGGATCCCACCAGCCTCTCACAGAGATGGAAAGGCACTAAAGCAAGTTTCTCTTCTCTCACCGGCCTGAAATTTTAAGGTGGAACTGTAACACTGAGAGGCGTCGTAGGGGCAAGAATCAGTGGTGACAAAATTTGGGAGGCAATCCTTAGAGTGCTCTCCCACACAGGTCGGGCAGCTATGGGAAGAAAATGCTGTAGACTTAGGAGCTCTGGCCTTGAGTTTCACAAAAGGATCCAAGTTGGTAAGGTTATTGCAGAGGTATGTTCGACAGACGCGGCTATAGGAAGCGATGGACAATCCAGGTGGCGAAACGAGGTAGGAGACTTGCTGGGGGTAAGATGAGGCTGGGCTGCAGCCCTTAAAACCCACAACTCCCCTTCTGGTCCCTGAGGAGAAGATTAGAGAGCTCTGATCAGTGCTGTTGGCCACACACAGAGTCTACCCTCCCACCCTACACCCTGCTCTTCCAGCTCGCTCTGCCCCATCACGAACTTTGCTGTGGGGTCCACTCACTGCAGCTGCACAGGGCTCAGATCCCCGGGTCTCTGTCTGTCTCTCCTCACCAGCCCCTCCCCCCAGGAACCCCCTGCTCCTCTCTCCCCTGTGTCCCTTTCTTTACTTTTCTCCCAGATTGTCCCCCATCCACTTGCGATCACCTCCGTTCTGCCCTCCTATCCAGCCCACACCACACCCAGCCAGGTTCTGCCCTCTCCTGCCAGTGTCTTGACATTATTCCCAAAGATGTAATGGAGTAAATGTTTGGAGCTTGAGTCCGTAGTCCCTGGGTGCTGGGAATGGAGTTGGGGGTCAGAAGAGCCAGCAAAAAAAGAAACGTATCAAAGTCACTTTCCTTCACCTGTCTCGATGAACACCAGCGTCTCCTCACAGCCCTCACTCAGCTTACATACCATGCTCCTCATCAGAAGCCATTTCCAGTCATGGAGAGAAACAGCTCTGAAGAGTGAAGATGTTGCTTCGTAGCATAAAAGAGCCGTGGCCCCTAAAGAGAGAATGCCCTTCCAGTCATGGGCCCCCTCACATTGCCTTCTCAGCCCCCCAGTTGCCAGCCAAGAGCTCAGCCTCTCCAGATCCTGTCCCCTGAGGAACCCAGATATCCAGCCCTCCGTCCCCTAGTTATGTGAATCCAGCCTCCCACCCTCTGGGGGTCCCAAAGCATCCAGCCCCACAGGACATACAAGGCACAGTGGAGATGGCCCCTAGGAGGCAGAGCAGCTGCACAGGGCTGAAGTGCTGGGGTCCCATGGTCCTGGGTCGGGGTCCTGGATGCTAGAGGTCAGTCTGGAACCAAGTTCAATCCAGGTATCAAGCTCAGTTCTCGTCAGTTTCTGAATTCTCTGTTCACCCACCTCTGGGTCACTGTTTCTAGGGCAGAAAGTTGCTTGTCAAGTTCTTGTGACATAGGCTCCCTGAGACCTTCAGGGACACAAGTCTTCCCATCTCCATAGTGTCCCCTCCAACCTGCCCTGAACCCACCACGTTAGCTTCTCAAGTCATGACTCTCACTCTCCTGCTTATGCCCTCCCATTGGACATGGTGCTGAGCAGAGCTGACTTAGTCAAAGGATCACTGGTACACAAGCTGTTCTCCAGCCAGAGACAATGAGATCAGAACAACAAGGGGGTGTATATGGAAGTTAACTGAAATATTACTAAATAACTCTTGGTTCAGAAAAGGATCTTTAAATGTATATAGAAGTGAATAATAATGAACATAGTACATCTCTCTCTCTCTCACTCTCTCTCTCACTCTCTCTCTCTCTCTCTCTCTCTCACACACACACACACACACACACAAACAAGTACATGCAAAATCTGGTGAAAACTAATTAAAGTCTATAATCCAGTTAAGAGTTTTATGCCAATGTCAAGTTTATGCTTATATACTACAGTTATAGAAGATATCCCTGAGGGGAAGTGGAAGGAAGTATTTATGGCTTTACGAATTTTGCAACTTCTTGTGAGTCAATAACAATCTCAATACCAAGTTTTTTTTTAACTACACATCAAATTTTGTGACACAACTAAAGCAGTGTTTACAAGTAAATTTATACTTTCAATACATTTGTCAGGAAATAGGAACTTTAAAAAAAAACATGGTCCTGGATTAACTCAAGAAGTTGTACAAGGTGCAACAAAGCACCTGCCCCCCAATAAAGGATAAAATTAAGATAATGACAGAAATCAATGAATTAGAATAACAAAAATTATTACAGAAAACTTAACATTGATTCTTTGACAATATCAATGAGATAATTATCCAGCAAATCTAATCAAGAGAAAAACAAGATGCAAATAAAATACCACATTAAAAATCAGAAGTAACAGACAGTGGCTGTTTTAAACAATATATATAAGTATCATTAAGAACTCTACATTTATAGGGCACCTGGGTGGCTCAGTTGGTTAAACCGCTGCCTTCAGCTCAGGCCATGATCCCAGGGTCCTGGGATCGAGCCCCACATCGGGCTCCCTGCTCATGCAGGAAGCCTGCTTCTCCCTCTGCCTGCCGCTCCCCCTGCTTGTGCTCTCTCTCTCTCGCTCTCTCTCTCTCTCGCTCTCTCTGTGTGTCAAATAAATAAATAAAATCTTTAAAAAAAATCAAATAAATAAAATCTTTAAAAAAAAAAAAAGAACTCTACATTTATAAATTTGAAAACCCAAATGAAGTGGGGGAGCCTGGCTGGCTCAGTTGGTACATCATGCTACTCTTGATCTTGGGATTGTGAGTTCGAGCCCCATGTTGGGTACAGAGATGATGTAAAAAAAAAAATCTTTAGAAAACCCAGATGAAGTAGATACATTTCTAAAATAATGTGAAATGCCAAGATTTGCATAAGAAGAGTATATGCAATGCAGAGACAAGAAAAAAAAAAAAGAGTAACCCCAGTAGGAAAATGGGCCAACCATATGAAGAGGCAGTTCTCAGAAGAGCAAACCAGAAAAGCTAGAAAATATATGAAGAGACACTCAAGCTTAGCAATAATCAGAGAAAGGCAGTCTATCAAACTGTCCATCTCTCAGACTAGCAAAGGACCAGAAAGCTGGAAAAAGATACGTGTTGGCAGCAATGTGGGATACAGATACAGGAACCCTTGTGTACTGTTGCTCATGGGGTTGTTGGGAGAGGGACAGGACCCTCTTCTGGACCCTGAGGAACAGCTGAGAGTTCTGATCAATATTTCAGGCCCAAAGCAGCATTGCAGGGAGGAATCTGGCAATACTAGGTCAAATTGGGTTTACAAATTCCCATTTCTAGTTTATCCTAGGTACACATAATAGAGATTTCCACCTTCATCTACAAAGCAACATATACCAGGATGCAGCATTACTATGGAGATGGTGAGTCGAAGGCAATGTGGGCATTCTTCCCTGAGACTTAGTGAACACACAACATGGAGAGGATGCACCATGGAATATCATGCAGCAATTAAAAAGAAACTGATTAGACATACACATAACATGTACATGTATGGATCAAAAAAGCACAGTGCTGATTATTTTAAATAAATAACACAATATCACTTGCATAACTTAAAACCACATACACAGGGGTGCCTGGGTGGCTCAGTCAGTTAGGCATCTGGCTCTTGATTTCAGCTCAAGTTCTGATCTCAGGGTCATGAGTGCGAGCCCCACCTCGAGCTCTGTGTTTAGCGTGGAATCTGCTTAAGACTCTTTCTTCCTCTCCCTCTGCCCTTCCCCCATGTTCTCTCTCTAAATAAATAGATAAGTAAAATCTTTTCAAAAAATAATAAAATAAAACCACATGTTCAGGGGTGTCTGGCTGGCTCAGTAGGAAGAGCATGCAACTCTTGATCTCAGGGTCATGAGTTTGAGCCCCACGCTGGGTGTAGAGATTACTCGAATGAATGAATGAATGAACAAACCTTTTTAAAAACACATGCACATAAGACACTGCACATCTTGCAAGAACACAAGAAACAGAAGATATGCATTAGCCACCTGAAGTGAGCACCTACAGGAGGATTAGGGAAGGAAGATCACTGGAAATACTAAAACAATGTAGGTGGTACAAAAGTTCATAGGTGTTGGACTCAAAGGTGGAGCAAAGTTAGAATCCTTACACCTCCACTTACTAGCTGTGCAATCTTGTGTAAGTTGTTGAACTCATTTATAAAATGGATTAATAATACATCTCATAAGGCCACTGTTGAAAATTAGTTAAGCTTATTAATATACAGTTCAGGCAAGTGCTAAACTCTCCATAAATGTTGGCTCTCCAGTCTCTGTCTCTCCACCATCTAAAGGATCAAGGTCAACCTCTTTACTAGACAGTCAAGCCTCCCACACTCACATCCCCCACCACTAGATTGGCCCCAAACAACCTGTCCAACTTTGTCTAGTACTGCTCCCCTGCACAGCAGTCCAGCTAGAGGTCACCTCTGCCACCCTTTTCTGTCCAGAATGCCTGGCACACAGGCTCTGTAACGCAGGAGTCTATAGCAAACAAAGGGGCTGAGACCCACGGAAAAGATGGGACACAGGACGGGGGAATGAAGGCTGACAAAGGATCACACAAAAGGACTGGGCCACTCAGAGAAGATGGCACACACCAGCCTGGAATGCAAAATGACAGGATCCAAAAGTCTGAAGCACAAGTGGAGACACAAACAGAAAAGGGTGGAATGAAATCTTTGGGGGGGGGACGAAGAGGTGGTCAGAGGGTATGCTACCCCTACAAAAGAGAAACCATGCAGAGGAGGAGCAAACTGGAACGTTGCAGGGAGTCAGAGGACCAGCAGCGAGAGCACAATAGGGGAAGCAGGAAAATGACGCCTAGGGCGCAGGGACGTGGCTCTTTGTGGGGCGGGGGAAGGAGACAGGGGCGCGAGGCACAGAGAAAAGGGGACAACAGGAAAGGGTGGGAGGGAAACCGCGAAACACGGAGAAGGCAGGTGAGGAGGACAGAGTGGAGCCCAGATGACACTGATGAATTGAGGTGAAATCGGGGAGGGATATGCACGCAGAGGGTGGAAAGGGCCAAAGGGATAGAAATACTACGGCGGCGTCTTGGAAAGAAAGTGAAGAAGGGGGTGGGGGGGGGGGTTGGAAACAGAGCCAGGTTATTCGGAAATTAGGAACGTGGAGGAATGCGGTCCGAAAATCAGCAGGATGGACAGGCGGACAAGACTCCCAAGAGAACGGGAAAACCAAAGTTAGGAAAATCAGCACCTGAACAGACGGGAAGAGAGACACGGAAAGGGGCGCAACCCGAGGAGGTGGGATAAGGGAAAGAAGCAGGAGGGGAAACGCATAAAAGGAGAAGGGTAGATCCGGAGTTCAGGCACAGGGAGAGAAGTGAAAGAAACACGAGCGTCCACGCAGCGAAGAACCGCCCGAGCGAGGTCGAAGCCAGGAATGCCAGAGGCAAACCCGCGCAGGGCTGGCTAGAGAGCGAGACTGCGCGTGCGCACACAGGTCCAGGTCAACGGCTGGGGGTCCGACCCGGCAGCCGTTTCTGGGGGGCAGGGCCAGTCTCATCCTGGGGCCAGTACTCGACGCCCCATTGGCTGTCTCTCCCAAAAGGGGAATTACAATCTGGGCAGGCAAGCCACAGGGGGAGGGGCAAGTGGGGGGCGAGACTCAACTCGACGCGCTATTGGCTGGCCTGACAGTCTGGCGCGAGGCAAAGCGGGCTGGAGGTAAGGGGAGGGCCGTCAGTGCAGGATCTTGAAGCGCATTGGTCGCTTGCGTCGGCGGCGGGAGTCGACGCTTGAAGCTCATTGGCCCTTGGGAGAAGGGGCGGGAAAACCGGCGCGAGCGCGGCCGTTCCTCACGCCACTTCCTCACCGCGTCCTTTCGCGTCCTCCTGACTGAGTCTGACTTTGCTCCCTCGAGGCTGTGGTAACCGCGGGCCGAGGACGCGAACACGACCCCGCCCCTCCCTGTCCCTTCTCCCCCTCTCTGTGGCGCTGGACCCCCTCCCCCGCCTCCCCCTCGCGCTCCTCGCGCCCCTCTCCTCCCCTCCCCCACGCCGCGGGCCCCTGGGCGCGCTCCCCGGGCCTCACCCCCTCCCTGGGACCCTGGAGCGAGGCAAGGCCTCAGGCCCGGCTACCAAAAGAGGGGGCACGCGAGTAACAGCCGCGCGAGCCGTGGTGCGCTGCGGGGAGGTGGGCTGGGCGATGCATGAGATCGGTTGCTGGGAATGGGCAAAGGCCCCCCCGAAGGGCCCGGCGCAGCGACCCCAGAATCTGCGTCAGAGTTTGCAGGGCATATGGGTGCAGGAGGGGAATCCGTGCCGTGAGGAGGGGGGCCTGCGGCCGAGATCGGGGCCTGGCATCTGGAAGAAGGGGCTCAGGAAACGTTTGTTGAGTGAATGAAAATAATTCTTGAAAGTGGGGCAAGGAATCCGTGAGAATAAAGTAATCGCGGGGGCGGGGAGAGGCGGCAAGAGAGTGTTGTGATTTCAAAGGGGAGCAAAGGGTACGTTGCCGTGCAGGAGGTACGGACGCTCTGAACTGGGCGGGGAGCGTAAAGGTAGTTGTAGGAATTGGATAAATGCGGGAGGGAAGGACGGTAGTTGCTGAAGGCGATGGCAGGAAAAACTATCAGAAGAGGGTGTTGCAGGAAGAGGGGTGTAGAATCCCTTGGGGGGCCAGTGAATGCACGGGTAGGAGCATGGGACTTGTGCAGGAGAAAGCACAGGCCAGCAGCTGAGAACGATGGTTGGTTGAAAGAACACGTAAGAAGGGCAGGAGGAGAGGGGCGCCGGGGGAAGAAGGCGAGCCTTCTGGGAAGGAGGATGCCCAAGAAAGGCCCTGGGGTGAAGGAGGGAGAAAGCTGGGGAGGGGGGGTGAAAGCTGAGTCCACAGATGGGGTGCCGCGGAAACCCCTTCAGGTGTGGCTTCCCAGGGACGAGGGCCCTTGTGGCCACCCTGACCTTCCACTCCTGCCTCCAGATCCATGGAAGCCAACGCAACGCCCACTGCCCACCCCCGTGCCTCTGATTCTGCCACAGGGGGTGAGATCAGAGCCCCTCCAGGCACTGAGCTTATCCCCAGGAGAGCTGTCAGTCGCTCTCCAACCTGTGCCCGCTGCCGAAACCACGGCGTCACTGCCCACCTCAAGGGCCACAAGCGCCTGTGCCTCTTTCAGGCTTGCGAGTGTCACAAATGTGTCCTCATCTTGTGAGTATGAATGAGATCCAGGGAAGGGAGGACGATGGGCCTCATCGAACGCGAGGCTGACTTTTGACCCGCAACCCCTATTTTAGGGAGCGCCGGAGGGTCATGGCTGCCCAGGTGGCCTTGCGTAGGCAACAGGAGGCACAGCTAAAGAGGCATCTGGCTCAGGGACTGCTGAGGAGAGGGGCGGCTCCTCCCAAAGCTCCTAGCCATGCCAAGAAGGGAGCCACGCAACGAGGGGTCCCCCGTGAGTATCTGGCCAGGGATGGGGCAGGGTTTGGGGTGGAGAAAGCATAAGTAGGAAAGAGTCCCAGACCCACCATTGGAATTGTGTGTGACCTGGGGCAAAGTGTTTCTACTCTCTGGGCAGCCTCAGTCTCTCCAACTTTAGAATGCAGTCAGGTGTTGGGAGGATGTAGTGAGATCCATGGATAGAAAAAGGCCACAGGGAGATAAGAACTCAGTTTGCCGTTGGAGTGGAATGGCAGTCAGGAGAAAGGGCTCATCAGAGCTCTCCCTGGTCCCTCACAGCTGGAAAGGAGAACATACCACCCCAGCCTCAGACACCCCATGGGGCAGTCCCACTGGCACTGACACCCCCTGGGAAGGTAAGGAGAACCTGGGCCCTGGGGGAGTGAATGCTATACTAGCCCCTGCCCAGACCCCTTCCTCTGTGCCCTCAACACTTGGGTTCTAGATCGAGTCCTGATATGCAGTATCATCCTGGGCAAATCACTTCTCTTCAATGGGTAAAAAATGAGAGGGTGGGACTTTACAGCCCTCCCAAGTCTAAAGTTTTGAGGTCCTGCCCCCATCCTAGAACGTACTCGTTCTTTCCCCAGCCTCGTTCCTGACTCCAACTTGTGCTCTCTGCCCTTGCAGGATAACTCCCGGGGGCCTCTGCTGCTCAGCCGTCCCCCAGAAGCCTTGCCTTTGTCCTGGACTCCAGTGCCTCCAGGCGCTTGGGCTCCTGGACACTGGCTGCCTCCAGGCTTTTCCGTGCCACCTCCTGTGGTATGCCACTTGCTATGTCAAGAACCTACAGTCCCTCTGCATCCCTCTCCTGGTAAGATGAATTCAACACTTTCATTAAACAGATATTTGAATGCCATTGAACCGCTGTATCAGAAAGAGAAGAGGAAGAGAATACTGGGTAAGAAGGAAGATGGAAGCCATGACCTTTAACCCCTGTACACTCCTGCATTCTCTTACCCTCATTAGGCTTTGACCCTGGCACTTCCCTCCGGCTGCCCACTCACGGGCCCCTCCCAACCTGCCCAGGATCTCGTCCGATACTGATGGCTCCTCTTTCTGGAGAATCCCAAGGGCCCTCTGCCCTGCCCCGCGCGTGAGTAGGGAGGGAAGGATATGGGTCTATAATGTGCCTGATCCCGTCCTGGACGCCACAGCAGATGATATAGAACACAAGGTCTCAGACTAAGGCGGGAAGAGAAGTTCTCCTAGCTCTGCCATTGCCTGACTGGGAACCTCTGTACAAGTATCTTTACCTCTCTGAACCTGGTTTTCGTTCAGTAAGTTGGAGATACAATTACCTTCTTTTTGCTTTGTCATGAGAATTAGTGATAACGTACGGAATACATCCTAGCAGAGGCCCTGGTCTTGGACAAATAGTGGCTATTAAATCCTCTTAAACAGATAAAATGGAATCAAATTGCCTGCAGGAAGGGTGGGGTGGGGTGTGATGAGGAGAGCCTCAGAGGCCTACGATAGAGGCCAGAGGCCTTTTGAGAAAGCTGCTCCTCAAGTTCCATGGGGATTGGGGAACTAGGGGAGGGAAACCAGACTTTAGTAGGGCAGGAACAGCCATCCCAGTCCCTCTTGCTGTTTGATACGTTTTTTAAAAATTGACACCAGTGACTCCCCATAATTGTCACAGTAGCTCTGGGGGAAAGAAGCTGGCAGGGATTTTCATTTTATAGCAAACAAAGCAGGCCAAGACAGGGGAAGGGACTTGCCCAAGTCCGCAAAGCCTAATGGCCCAGCAGGCACCCAGACTCCCATGTGTGCATATCTCTCCATGTGTTTAAGCCCCTTGGCATCTTCTCTTCTTGCTTCTAGATGCTCAACTCTGATCCTCCAGCCCTGTGGCACCCCAGACCCTCTTCTGCTACAGCCACAGGTCCTGGGAAAGAAGTGGGATCCAGGACCCTGGGAGGAAATTGAGCCTGGGGAAGGGAAGATAGGGGATAGTGAAGTAACCAGGGGCTGAGAGAGTACTTGGAGGGTGGGCAGAGTGGGGATTCCCAGTCTGTTTCTTTCCTTTTCTTTTGCAGGCCCCCGGAGCTTCTCGCCTGGCCTGGACCTCTGCCCCCTCAGAGCGGCAGCTGCAGCGGGAGGCAGCTGAGGCTCTTGTGGATCTGAAAGGTTCTTCCCAGGCTCCCCGCCTGACCTCTTCTGTGCCCCCCAACCCTGCCTGGATCTCCCTGCTCCACCCCTGTGGCCCACCAGGTAACCTGTTCCCTGAAAGAAGATGGGGTAGGGATGGTTGGGAAATGGAGGTACCAGAGTAAGTAGGGACTAACTAAGGAGATCAGGGGGTCAGCAGGTTGATCATCCCAGGCCCCAGGCTTCTCAACCTAGTTCCTGGAATTGCAATTGAGAGTTGTTTGGTGAATTAGTTTTATTAATTTTGTGCCTAAAAGCAAATGTCCCACCGGACATTTCCTTATGTCAAGGAAAAGGAGGCCCCGAGAGAGGCAGGGACTTGCCCAATGGCATATGGCAAGACTGCCAGAGCCTGATCTCCTGACTCCAGCCTAAGGCTCCCTCTCTAGACACAAGCTGCCTGCTGCAGATCTGATAACTGCCTTCAAGGAGCTTCCATTCTACTTGGGAAAGCAGAACGTCTTCACAAAGCTCAGTGACAAACCAGGAAAGAACTAGAGGAATCTTGAGAAATGAGACCTATGGGGACAGGGAGGGAAGGCCGAGGAGTCTCCTGTCCAAGATGGCGGTTTGGGCATGGTGTGTGGGTGAGGAAACCTGCCTGGAAGGACTGCTGGAACAGAAGGAGATGAGGCTGGAGAGACCTCCGATCATGGAGGTCTGGCACGCCAGGCTTAGGAGTCCAGACCAGCAATTGTGCATGAAAGGGAGCCAGGGAATGTTTCTGACCTAGGCAGGGACATATTCAGAGACCCTAAGCTTTAGAAGTCAGGTGTGGTGGCTGTGATGGAGGGATTGAAAGAGACAAGACTGAGGGTGGGAAAATCAGTGTGGGGGAAGTGTTTGCTATAATCCGGGTGAATAAGGCTGAGGCCTGGATTGGATGGGGTAAAAAGAGGGGGTTGCTGGGAGAGGAAATAGATGTGACCTAGTCCTACCCCTTTCCTTCCTGCTTATAGCTCCCGCTGGAGGAAGAGGATTCCAGCCTGTTGGCCCCTCTCTCCGACCCAGCCCAGCCGCCTCTGTGGCTCTGCATATTGGGCGTCTGGGCTCTATCTCCCTCCTAAGCTAGAAGCCCAGAGGTGGAGGCCTTGCTGGGGCAAGAAGCAACAGCCTGTGGGCACTGCATATTTGGTATTTTACTTCTGGATTTATGCATGGAATTTAATGTAGTACAAGCTTCCGGCTTTTCTTTTTTTTTTTCTTCTTCTTTTTTTTAAGCTTCCAGGTGCTTTGTTAGCTTTTGGTTCCTTTTGTAGTGTGAGCATTTCCTTGAATGAAAGTGGTATTCTCTTACTCACTTGGGTCCTGGCACCTTTTTATAATCCCCAGCAAAGTGACAATTGTGTAGTTTAAGCTAACCAGTATCTAAATAGGTTTTTGCATGAGTTCACGGTCTAGAATATTTATTTGACATATGATCCTGTACATAGCTGTGCGCTCATGTCTGTCTCCATGCATGCAAAAATAGGAGAGTATTTTCATTTTGTGTCTACCTTTGGGTGAGTAACTGGGAAATAAACCTCTGTTGTTTTAAGCCACTGAGATTTGGGGATTGTTTGTTGCTGCAGCCTAACCTAGTCTACCCTGACACAAAGGACTTGTTCAATTCACTTTCTGGTAACTACCACAAATAAATACAAACTTGGATTTCTTAGAGCCAGTTAAGAAGGGTTGGTAGAGGAAGATAGTGGGAGATCCACTGATTCAATAGTGAAGTGCCTGCGTGCCAGGCCTAGACCATTTCCAGCTGTCAGAGGGCTACGGATCAAAATGCATACAGGGCCAAGCACATCATATAAATGAGTAAAGAAAGCTGGATGAGCCCTAGAAAACTGAGAATGCATGCCCTGCCTAAGGGGACAGCCTCCTGTGCATTAGTGCGCTGTCACCAGGCAGGAAAGTAGCTATTGCCACAACTTCTGATTCTTTAGGAGAAGCTAGAAAACTGAATTTCTACGTAGAACATCTTAATTTTCAAATAATGGCTCAGTTTTCTTCTTTAAATCCTATGTGAGCCAAACAAAGCATTATCTTCAGGCCAGCGTTGGCCAATGGAATGCCAATTTAATGCTAACCTAATGTAACATTTTTCAAATGGGGAAACTGAGGCCAATGAGAATAGGAAGAATCAAGTTATCAGAGGTTTTTATCAAGGGTATATCAAGGGTTTTTACTGAACTAGGGAGATTCATGTGTCTAAGTTTTGAAGGACCTCCAGAAGGTAAGAGACCATTATTATCATTTATTGAGTACCCCGCTGTATGTGATTCACATATATCCTCACGGCAACTCTGTAAACCATGCATGCTTACTCCTGTTTTACAAATAAATAACAAGTTTAAAGAGAGAAAGTGACTTGCCCAACTATTTTAGGGAAAATTTCTAGGCAAATATAGGGGAAAGTTTCCCTCTTCTTGTCAAGTCCCGAATCAATTACTAGGTAATTTTTACAAAACAGAGTGAAAGATTTTGGGCTCCAGGAGACAGGCATGAGCCCAAGGGTTTTTCACAAAGTCTTTATTTTTCTACTCCAGGTATCCTTAAGTGATAATCAGATCTTACCTGCATTTGTTTCATAGTCCCCTGCTGTCAAGTCCTCCTTGAACCGTTCCACACATACGAAGGGCAGAGGGAGAGGGAGAGGGAGAAGCAGGCTTGATGCCATGACCCCGGGATCATGACTGGAGCCAAAGGCAGACGTTTAACCCACTGCGCCACCCAGGCGCCTCCTCACACCCCTCTTTTTATTCAGGATGATTGCTGGTGATGGCATTCAGTCACAGCTTGTTCCCTGGTGTCTGGGGCCTTGAGAAGGTAGGCTTCTTCTACTTCCTAACATTACAGAGTAAAAACTCTGTAGCAATTCTCAGGAATCAGCACAAAATAATTAAAGGAGGAAAGTCCTCTTCACACTTTCCTTCCCTTCCCTTGTTATAACTTAGGTACGTGATTGCCCCTTAATAGATTTGCCGTGCCATGCTCTCCCAAGTGACAGACGACCAAGTCCACATGGTCACGGAGGAGGTTTGCAACATGAAACATGGCTGAGACCCTGCTACTCAGGGCTGAGCAAAGGTCCCAGGACACCAAGGTCACAGAGCTGGGAAGAGTAAAAGAGAAAGTATAATTTGGGGTTAAAGGATGACATGAGAAGGTGGGGAAAGAGATGAGGACTGAGCCAAGGAGCTAGGGGCAGGTTCCAGACCCTTCTCGTTTCTCTGCAGCCCACCTCCCCTTCCAGCCAGACCTGCAGGGCTTTTCCACTGGCTAGGCCTACTTTGTCTATCGTTTCCTTAGGGCTTTCCCACTGGTGCCTGGGGGAGAGGGTGGAGGCTCTGCTGAGGTGAGCCTTGGGCAAAAGGGCAGATGTAAGAATTGCTCAGGCCCCTATGTCACTGCCTCTTTGGGTGCCGCAGCCTTCATCTGTGGTTGTAGGGAGCCAGTGGGCTCCTGGCCTCTGACCAGCCCTTGGAGATGACAGTCAGTGGACTGTCAGCACTGTTTCATGTGCCACCCCCTTTCCCATTTCCCATTTCCCATGGCAGGGCAAGGAAAGGTGCTGCCCAGGTCCAATAGGTAATGAGTAAATCATACCCCTTCTCAGGTTCTTTTGTGTACTATCCTGACCTTCTGCAGAAGTAACCCATGAGGTTCCAGATTTGAAGTACAATCCCTCTCTCCAAACAGGATTTCCCCAAACCACCAGTCACCCACTTATAACCTCAGAAGCTCATTTCACATTCTCCCCTTTGGGAATCTATGCTCCCTTCACTCCAGTCAACCTGGTCCACTCCTAACCACACTCCTTGTCCAGTGTAGAACCAGCATCATACCACCCATCCCCAGCCCCATCCAGTTTCTCCTCAGACCCTCATTACATGATTCATGTAGGCCTCATTCTGCACCCCTCATCCCATTGTGTACCTGGCTCTGCTGTTCTCATAGACACAGTCCTATAACCCATACCCTGCATAGGCCCTCGTGAGATTCTGAGCTCTTCCCAAACGCAAGATTCCCTCTCTGGGGGAATCTGACTTGATGTCTCCCAGAAGCTCCTCAGGCAGAGTTCCCTACATTTCTACATTCACAGGCCTGATCACCCTGAGCAGCTCCTGGCTCTGTGCATCTCTGTCTCCCCCTCCAAGAATAAGTAGTCTCAGAGCACAGGGCCTGTGTTCACTTCCTCTCTGGGAACTCAAGAAATAACATGTTCTGTCTGATTCCTTTGCATTAATTTTTTTCCTACAAAGTTAACACACTCTAATGCTTCTTCTCCCCTCATCACAGTACGAACAATTGAGAACTTCCTGTCCTCAAACCATTTTTTTAAAACAGAGTTTATAGGGGCGCCTGGGTGGCTCAGTTGGTTAAGCGACTGCCTTCGGCTCAGGTCATGATCCTGGAGTCCCGGGATCGAGTCCCGGGATCGAGTCCCGGGATCGAGTCCCACATCAGGCTTCCTGCTCGGCAGGGAGTCTGCTTCTCCCTCTGACCCTCTTCCCTTCGTGCTTTCTATCTCTCATTCTCTCTCTCTCTCAAATAAATAAATAAAATCTTTAAAAAAAATAAAAGATTTTATATTTTAGAGAAGTTTTTCACAGCAAAATTGAGCAGAATATAAGTATTTCCATGGTCTCCCTGCCCCCACATAAGCACAGCCTCCCCCACTATCAACGTCCCCCGCCAGAGTTGTACATTTGTTAAAGATTATCAGTCTACATTCATGTGTCATTACCATCCAAAGTCCATAGTTTATATTAGGGTTCACTCTTATTTGTACATTTTATGTACAAATGTACAAAATTGTATATTTTATGGGTTTGGATAAACATATAATGACAGGTATCCACCATTATAGTACCAGACTACTTTTGAGGTTTTTTTAAAGATTTTATTTTTATTTATTTATTTATTTATTTTAAAGATTTTATTTATTTATTCATGAGAGACACAGAGAGAGAGAGAGCGAGAGAGAGGCAGAGGGAGAAGCAGGCTCCCAAGGAGCAAGGAGCCCGATGCGGGACTCGATCCCAGGACTCCGGGATCATGACCTGAGCCGAAGGCAGACGCTTAACCATCTGAGCCACCCAGGCGCCCTAAAGATTTTATTTATTTGAGGTTGTGCCTGGGTGGCTCAGTCGTTAAGTGTCTGCCTTCGGCTCGGGTCACGATTCCAGGGTCCTGGGATCGAGCCCCACATCAGGCTCCCTGCTCGGTGGGAAGCCTGCTTCTCCCTCTCCCACTCCCCCTGCTTGTGTTCCTGCTCTTGCTGTGTCTCTCTCTGTCAAATAAATAAATAAAATATTTTAATTAAAAAAAAGATTTTATTTATTTGACAGAGAGAGCACAAGCAGAGGGAGTGGCAGGCAGAGAGAGAAGCAGACTCCCCTCTGAGCCGGGAGTCCAGTGCAGGACTCGATCCCAGGACCCTGAGATCATGACTTGAGCCGAAAGCAGATGCTTAACTGACTGAGTCACCCAGGCGCCCATATCACACAGAATAGTTTCACTGTCCTATGATTTCTCTGTGCTCCACCTATTATTCATCCTTATCCCCACCAACCTCTGGCAACTAATGACCTTTTTACTGTTTCCATAATTTTGCTTTTTTCCCAGAATGTCATATAGTTGGAATCCTACAGTATGCCTTTTCAGATTGCTTTCTCTTAGTAATATGCATCTAAGTTTGCTCTTTGTCATTTCATGTCCTGATAGTTCCTTTCTTTTTAGCACTAGTATTCTATTATCTAGATGTACCACAACTTCTAATCATTTTTAAATTTTGTCTGTAGAATTTTGAAAGCAGTTGGAGAGTCATCATTTGTGGATTCAAATCCCAGCTCAGGCTTTACCCTTACTCAAGCTTGGTCAAGCAACTTGACTCTCTAAAATTCAGTTGCCTGAAGGTGGTTTGTAACCACTTTACAGAGTTAAGATTATGAACCTATAAATTTAACACCAAGGACATAGTACTGAGAAACCATGGTATCTAAAATCATAGACTGTCAGAAAGTTTGCTCTTTGAAATCATAGTAATAGTGAGAAGGGGACATCTCACTCTTGCCTGGAATGCCAATGTCACTTTAACATAGAGAAGCAGGCATGATTTCCAACAGAGGTGCAGAGTTTCAAAGGAGGATTTCTGGAGATTGCACATTTATCTTAACCCTATAATTTCTGAAGAAACAGGACCCTGTGTCTGCTTCTCAGCCCAGGCATGATGTTGACTCCATTACATAGGATCTGCTTTGCCTTGAGTCCATCAAAGCTCTGCTTAATATAAGTTTTACCTAACCTTCATTCTTCCCCAAAACCTGTATTAACCCCGTGTCTTCCTTTGTTTGGTGAGGCACACTACACAGTTCCTCTGGAGAGCTCTTTTTTGAAGAAAGAAATATTTAGTAAATTGACTCAAGTGAATTAAACTTAAATGATTCAGCACTTATATTAGAAAAGTATATCA